AATTACTCAAGGCACCACATGAAACCTTTTTTTTGATCATTTATGATAGCATAACAGACCCAAAGGGACCAATCTGTCACCATGAGTGTCTGTGTGAGAACAGAGAGGGAGATAAGGGGAAGGAGCTAGTGTCTTTTGCTTCAAGTAGGCACTTAAATTGGAAGTTCTGTTTTTAGTTTACAACCAACTTCAATTTTCCCCCTTTGTTAATCAAATAACACATGATAACTTGGTAAAGTTACTGCCTGCAAACAAAACAGTGAGCCCCAACACCCCGACACCAGGTAAACAGAAAATTCCGGAGCATAGAAGCCTAAAAGGATAGCTGACCAAAAATTGCCGGCTTATATAAATTGCATTTCCATTATAGCTTTTACTAAAACACCCAATACATAGATATATCTGATAGAAAAACCATACTCCCTAGAACAGTTGAACAGGCGTAAAAAGAGGATGTGCAGTTGTCTGCACATTATGCTCAGAGGCTCAGTTGAATATTGCAATATCTATGTTTCACACAAAAACACACACTGAAACTGAAGTTGAGTGAAACAACCCAATTTGTAAAATAGTGGAACACATAAATTGACAAGAAGGAGAAATTTTCTGGTGTGACATTAAAATGCAGAGCTTTCTAAAATGGTATATACGACGAATAACACTATAACTGATGATATGCCCATTCTTTTCAAGATCTCCATACCCAAAGAATGCTTACTTTTTGGTGTAAGTTTGAGACGCTTACTTTCTAAAATTTACTTTTCCCTTATACCTTTGTAGGTCTCTACATTGATTTTTTCTTGATATCACAAAACATTATTTTATCTTTCCTACATTGTGTCAAATTTGATTGCGATATTTCCCTCATATCATCAGCTCACTCGTATCAACTGTAGAACCACCTAGACTGGATCCAGCTGACCATTCAAGATGTTCCCAAAAAGTCCCCTAAATATCATTTATTGATTCCCAGAAAAGTTATTGCATGAAGGTGGATGAACATGTAATGGCATGATTACAAGAAAGCATACTTGATATGAAGCCACATTCAGGGAATGGCTGAACATTAGACACCATGTTCTCCCCTTATGCAGATTTCACTACACGACACCCTACAATTTAAAAAAAAGAAAAGAACTAAAAATTAGCAAAAGTATTACCTGGATGAGCAGATTGGGTGGCCAACCCAAGTGGACTTTCTTTCTGCATACATGAAAAGGAGAATAAATTATTCAGTCAAACTATGAAACCACCTCATAGGGAGAAATAAACTAAGATGATTGTAGTGGCCTGTACATGGCTGTGGATTAAATGAAAATGTAGGCACTTTGTTTTCAAGGGTATATCGTGCTACTAACAAAGTGTAGTTTCAAATTCATTCCGATTTCCGACTTGCAATGACATATGGCAAATTCCACCAAACTGCTGTAACTCCAGAAAACAATTCAGGGAGTCTAGCAGCATATAGTGGACATGAATAAGAATATTGCAATCAAAGATTTGTGTAATTGCGTAACCTATATTTTTATGTGTACTGAAGTAGTTTTGTAAAAAAAAAAAATAGTTAAAGATCCAAGGAGGAGAAACTTATATACACAGGGAGCATATAGAAGTATAACCTAGTCCTTTGTACATTGAACTTCGTTCAAAAACTTTTAACACCAATTTAAAAACTCAATTATATCCTATACAATCTTTGAGCCCCCATCAAGAAAACAAGCATATCACTTTGTCAATTATCTCAACAACATCTGTTTAGAATAAAAAACCTAATTTTCGAGCATGTAGTCACTTCACATGTTTTTCGGTATCTATCCAGCCTTCTAATTGACTTGGCTCCAACATAAATAATTTGTCACTAGCCAGCCTGCATAATTTGGCTCCTATATAAATATTTTTTTGCGCATATAGTAATTTTGGGTACTTTTTAGCACCTATAGGGTCCTTTAATTGACTTGGTTTTAACATAAATCAATTTGAACACATGCTCTTTCTTTCTTTAGCATAAATGAGGGTGAATGCTTCATATTTTCTGCATATCAAACCAAAGTATATAAGTTAATTATCTCCAAACACTTCACTAGAAACTATAAAAGATACATTCTGATATTGCAAGATCAACAAGTTTGCTAGGCTACACGTTGTCAATAAGGTCCAATTTGCAAAGCTATGACCCAATCTCACAAAGCACACATAGACCCATCATTATGCAAGCAGTTAAGTTCCCATTGCCATCGTCAATAACAATAACTGCTATCATTTTTTTAACTCTTTTTTTTCAAATCATTTTCTCCATCTAACAAAACATTAAATCAACTAGTCAAAATATAGCAATGCATGGTACAATAAGACTCTCTGAGAGTTACAGATCACCATTTAATACTCCATTAACGACAAACCTTGGTGGTGTAAACTTTGTCGCCGTTTTCGTTTATGTAGAATTGGAGATACATCTCTTAGCCGTTCTTCACCGCCTGTAACCACGAGAGAAGTCACATCACATGTATATTCGAATAAAGTTAATTATTATTATCTTCCTTTTCCGAAGAACAAACAACAGAAAATCGCAATCAGATTTTTGTTTTTTTTTTTGCATCAACCAAACAAGATGGCTCATATAAGGGCCGCAGCAGAAGAGAGATAGAGATAGAAACGCAACAAGCTTACCAGAGAGAAACACAAACACGAATTGTTCCCTTTGCGATTTTCACTCTTCTAGCGTTAAACCCCAAACCGCAGAAACCCTAGTACACTGATTTCGTAGTGTATTTTATACCAGAGAGAGAGAGAGAGAGAGAGCGAAAGGACACTCTTGTCCTACAGGACCCCAATACAGTATCCCGGCTGTAGGGACAAAGGTGTCCTTTAATAATGAGGAGCAGAGTAGTAAATTTAAACAATGCTACCTTGCAACTAATCTACGATTTAATTTGCTGATAGTGAACTTCAATAAAAAGGAAAATTATATTTAGATCTTCTTAGTTCTGTTACTTAATTTAGATCTTCTGGGATTTGTATATATAATAATATTAAACAGTAACACGTTTAATAAAAAAATTAAAAAATCAAATAATAACACGTTCAACAAAAAAAATAGTAACATCAAAGATTAAATTTTTAATTAAGTTTTTTTATTGAATATGTTACTATTTAATATTACTATTTTTTTGTTGAGTGTATTATGTTTAATGTTATTATTTTTTTATTGAGCGTATTACTGTTTAATGTATATATATATATATATATATATATATATATATATATATATATATTAGTTTATTACTTGTACCTGAAGGTACAGAGTAATAAAAAATAGTAAACAATAAATATATTTGTATTCATATCTCAAATCAAATTATCAACATACAGGAGAGATAAATGAATTTAAGCATCGATTGTAGTGGGGGAGAAAGGTGGTGGGCGATAGTGGTGGTGGTAGGAGACGGTGATGGTTTGTGGTGGTATAGGTGGCGGTGGGGTGGCGATAGTGATGGTGGTGGTGGCGACGGCGACGACGACGACGGTAATAGGGGCAGTGGCAACGACAGTTATGGTGGTGGTGGTGGTGATGGGAGGATTTTAAACACTATTTTTTTAAAAAAGTATTTATAAAAAATAATTTCTATAAATATTTTAAAATATCATTCCAAACACAGCCTTAGAGGTCTATTTTTCCTATTAAATTTAGAGTGTTAATATTAGTCATTAGATTAACTTTAAAGTAAAATTTAATGCGATATCAACTGCGAATAACAAAAGTTATTTTATTTATCTTTTGAGATTTGAATTGTAAGTTACTTTATTATATATATATATGTGTGTGTGTGTGTGTGTGTGTATACACACGTATATATATATATATGAAATTTTAAAATTCAAATGATACACAAATATCAAAATAAATCTTAAAAGTCTCATATTATAATCTATATAATAAAGTAGTTTATAATTTAAATCTTAAAAGATAAACAAAATGACTTTTGCTATTTGTGGTTAAGATCGTTTTAAAATTTAATTTTAAAGTTAATCTAACGGCTAATATTAACATCCTAAATTTAATAGGAAAAATAGGGTTTTAAGGGTGTGTTTGGAGTGACTTTTTAAAAGTATTTTCAAAAATTATTTCTTATAAAAACTTAAAAAAAAATAGTGTCTGAAATTACTCTACCATTGCCACCGCCACCGCCACCATCACCACCGTTGCCACTACCACTGTCGCCGTCACCATCGTCGTAGCTGCCACCACCATACCGTTGCCGCCCCCCACCACTACCTCTACCATCGCCATCCCACCACCACCATCGTCGTCACCACCCCCCACAGCCATTACCACCACTGTTGTCGCCCTAACCCCACCACCACCACCACCATAGCCACCCACGGTCATTACCACCCACTATAACCATCACTGTCTTCTACCGCTACCACTGTCGGCCCACTACCTCTCACCCTCCACTACAAATCGATATTTAAATTTTTTTATCTCTTCTCTATGTTTGTGATTGACTTTTGGATATGAATACAAATATATTTATTATTTACTATTTTTTATTACTTTGTGCCTTCAGGCACAGACAATAATTAGTATTTATATATTGAAAATATAAAAATTGTCAATTAAGTATGCACTATATATGATATGAGTAATTATGAAATATATTTTAGAAAGAATTTAAAAATATGTACTTATTGACAACTATTTAATAAAAAATAAGACTTAAATGATGATAAATTTGAAGGTGGTACTTAAAGTCAAATAAGTTTTTAAAAATGTACTCACATCCCATCATTTTATAATTTTATGCCTGGACTAAATTATATATTAAATTTTATATACAAAATCAATTGGGTGGTTAGATTAGTGAATTTTTTTCATTAGGTCTCAAATTAATATAAATATTTTAATTTCGATGTTGATCATCCACCGGAGATTAGTTCCCAAAAAAAAAAAAATATTTACTGTAAGGACGGAGTGGGAGGTGTAGGTTTTGAAGAACAAAGGAAATATTAGGGTTTATATCGATCATCAGATTGGGCGTACGAAGCTGGATACATAATTCCTACGACGCGAAAATGGAGGAGACATCAGGGACAGGGCCATCAAGAAGCAGAAAACGGCAAAGAGAGGAAGAAGAGACCACCGCACCTGAAAGCCAAGACGCCGATCATTCGACTTCACTCGGTCAATTCATCTCTCTCTCTAGTTTTTCCTCTTTCTAAATCTCTCCCCATTTATCGACTTTTATGTCGTTTACTTATTCTGGAATGCTTTTTCATATATGAAATTGTATCAATCGAGAGGTAACGAAGAGCTTTATGTGAATGCAGAAGATAATTTTACGTTCAGCGATACTCTGGTGGCTCTTCGCATAATGCGTGCCCAGTTTCCTCAGATTGATAAGGTGTTTGGATTGAAATTGTATCCTTTTCCTTGCTAATTTATCCTCATTCCTCGCCGACGAACGGAGTTTATTATCATAATTTCGTTATGTTTTCCAGGTTTCAATTCAACCTTTTATTTTGCGATCACAATTGTACAGCAGTGTAAAGGACAGGACACAAGTGGACAGGGAATTAGAGGTCCGATACTTTTGTTTTGGAATTTTGAAATTCAGGTTTATTTTAGTAAAGAAATTACTTTTTGGTTTTGAAGTTTTCTTCCCCTCTTTGCAGTCTTTGAGAAGGGAAGGAGTTTTGCGCATTTTTAAATTAAACACAGGACAAGATGATCATGCCATAATGTTTGTTGATGACTACTTGATCCAGGTTGGTGCCCTTGAAAATAATTGTATCTGCAAAGTGATTATAATTTTACTATTCCAATACAGGATTACAATTGTACAGGTTTTGGCTTGTTTGTTTAGTTATGAGTATAGTTTCACCCTCTTTATTTTATTTTGTTTAAATTTTTGGGTGGTTGGTGATTATGCAGAGACAGTTTGACATTTTTCCTTCCGAGAATCAGCAACAGACTAAGTTTCTTATACTTGAAACCTTGCTAGATTGAACGTGCTGTGAAAAGAATGGAAGCAAAGAAGCAACCTGATCTTGCAGTTTTCAAATGGTTTAAAAATCATGTCATCAGCTCTAAGCTAGATACCAGTATTGGACACCTAGAGCTTGTGAGTGATCAAATATTATCCAAGTTTTATCTTGTATGTAATTTATATCTTTGTATAAATGTAAGTACATGTACATATTGTATGTTTATGCTTATGATATTAAGATTTATGCTTGCATTGTATCTAAAGCCGCTAACATTGTCTGGCTTCTTTTATAGGGCTATTGGCTTTTGGGTTGACATAAGGACAAAGAGTATATTAGTCGGCATTTCTTTCTTTCAACAGATTTTGTAATATGCCGTCCCTTAGTATGCCCCTCTCTGATATAGTCTTTCAATATATATTCCTTATTTTGGTAGATTTTGTTTTAAGTTTCCTAGTAATTATCATTCACCTAGAAGCACAACTCTTTCCTTAACTTATTTGACAATTATATTTTTGTTTCTTTCGTGAATGTCGACATAAAGATGAGGCTTGCATTTGATAGTTCATCTTTTATCTGTTATGATAGTTTTTGGCATTGGAAATGGGACTTTTGATCAGAAAAATGTTATGCCGTTGGGTTATTAGTTTCATGTTGTCAGAGTTGAACCTTGGGTGATGCAAGTCAGAAAGATTGAGAAATAGAATCATCTGATTTGATTCGTTCTCAATAGCAATGAGATGAAACTATAGGCATGAGTCATCCTTAAGCAATGGTGTCCTAAATAAAAAGGCAGACACCATTTTGTTTAAGTCAAACTTCTGATTGAAGCTTGAATGTGACTGTATAAGTGTTAATCTTTCATTAGCATGTTTCAAATGTATAAAGGAAGCATTGTTTTTATGTGCTTTAATCATTTACAGCTCTTTGAATTATGTATTCATTTATTTTCCCATTTTTTCTGCTCTTGGCTGCCTTGTAGTGTTCAATGTTATCATTAGGGGGAACGGTGAAAGACGAGCACATCTCTCTCTTGATTAATTCTGGTCTTCTGGTAAGTTTACTTGGATTACTGTCAATTGAATTGATGCATTTCATTATATTTACTAAAGCAATGTATCGTGTATCATGGCTGCTACATTACATCGGTGCCATAGGTAGTTGAAATGTAATACTCATTCTAAATGTTGGACTGGTGACATCTCGTAAGCTACTGCTTGAGGATATTCAAGTACCAATAGGAAATTTATTTATAGAACTAAGATCATGATATTCAGGTGAATTATCGAACCGTGGAGGTATTCAGCTGAATGAGAAGTGTCCAAGCAAGTATGTTTTTCTCGGTAGGTTTATTTAGAGGAAATGTCGACTAAACTGAACATATATATTATATTACTCGAAAAAATAGTTGGAAAATAGAACAAAAGTTATTTTGGCCTTGTAGATGGATACTCCTAAATTGGATATCCTTATAGTCTATCAGGTGACCATTAGCAAGCCAGGAAAAACATGGTTGCTTGTTGTAGTTTAGCAGAATTTAGTATATTAGGGAGGTATTTGTGGGGTGTAGTTTTGTAATCGCATTGTTGATGACAATTTTGGATCTCCTGGTGATGAATAGAAGTATTGTTTGTAACTTCCTTTTGTTATGTTGAGGACCAGCTCTGTGGCAATCCAAAACTTGATGTATACAAAGAATGCTTGATGCAGCAGTAAGACTATTCTTAATTTGGCATAGGGTGACCCTTTCGATGGGATTTTCTCTTTGGCAGGCTACGTAGGAACTTTAGCAGAAATCTATGTGATGATTTGAATGCTGACATGCTCTTGGTAGGCATCTTAGGTCGACATATGACAGAGTAGGTTCTCTTTACAATATGAGACAGCTATTCTTTGTGGGGTTCTCATGCCTCAGATCATGCTCTAGCTCCTTACCGACCTAGATAAAGTTTCTTTTTATACTTCTCTATGTATTGTGCTCCAACTCATTGAAACTTCTCCTTAAGGATTGAATCTTTGGGTGATCCATTTTGGATGACCTAACGGTGTTTTCAGGCTATTAGGTCATACCTCATGGTGATTAGTGTGGTGATATATTTTTACAATTATACTGTATCTGGGTCGTGATTCTGCTCTTTTGCCTTGCATGCAACTTTATCAGTTTGCTGGATAATATAGTGAATGTGCATATAACAAGCATCATAGTATTGGTGTGTGGAACATGAATAACATCATTACACTTTATGATTTTTGTGAAATTCAGATCGATTCGTCTTTTTTGAGCAAGCTGTTTTGCGTTTCTTTGAGTTTGTTTTTCTCCTTTGGCATCGTTGATTATCTCAGTTGTTGCCTTCCTTTCTGATGCTGCTGTTTTCTTTTTAGACTCGCCAACTTATTGATTCAAACATGTACTGGTTCGCTCTTCCAAATATTGGTTTGATACTCAAGGGTCTCTCACAGGTAAATATACATGTAGGAGCTATGGTTTCTGTAACATGTCATTTTGTCATAATTACATAAAACACCCTTATAAGACGGTCTTCAAACAATAAACTTTTGCATCATGGTAGCTGCTATGAATTTGTACCTTTACTTCTGACATTTTATATAGGGAAGAAAGGAGCTTCTGTCATTTCTCAGCCGCAGAAAATATAAGGAGATGATGTTGGCTACTTTGGAAAAGAAGCGCCTAAGACTTTCTTCATTGGATATGAGATTTCATCTCCGTGATCTGATTGGTTCAGGTCACCTCAGAACAGCCCAGACACCAAGTGGCTTAGTCGTTCGGGTTGCAAAGGATTAGCTCAGGTAAGACACTAGCTTTAATTGAATCTCACTATTAAAGTATGCTGCTTCTGTTATGCTTATCAACTTTGATAATAGGTTTTATTGCTTGTGTGTGGGATTTGCCTGTCTTTTATACAAGTCCTTAGTGACAGGATTGAAGTCTAGGCATTTGTTTGGATGTGTGATATGATTTCATGGTCTTCCTATTATCTATGCTCTTTGAGTTCGTTTGTTCAATGCTTAATTGGCATCTGTGTTCCAAACCACGCCAATATACCACGCCAAAGTAATAGCAATATTTGGGCCAAAAATAGTGGACTCACATCATGGCTGATAAATTCTCCCCCTCCTTCTCTTGGGATTTTGTAAGACTCCAGCAAAATCATACCAGTTGGTGCGAGGGTAGCATTACAACCCAAACTGTGTGTAAAACATAATGGTGAGTTTTTTGACCTAGGTGTCTGTGGGCTGTGTGATGAGGCATGTTTCCATTGAACTCAAGGGGGAAGATGAACATGTAACACGGGTTTGGCAATTCTCGGCTGAAGCCTCGCAGACCACAGTGAAGCTATACTTCGCAGTTTTGAAAATTGACCGACTCAGTCTTTTTCATGTGATTATTGTTGCACATACAGAGATGTGATGAAATTAGTTTACTTGGTATATGATTTCTATTTGTTCTTGTTACTCTGTTTAAAACAATTGAAGAAAGGTTGTAATAGTGACAGCTACATCAATTGAATCCAAATCTTCCTTCAAAGGATCTGTAAATTACATCAATGATAAAAGCTTCAAATCAAGATATGATTGCCGAAGACTAAAGATGATGTTATTGTGACAATGAGTGAAGAGTTCCACAAGATTTATAATCTAATCTTATAATTTTATCGATGTAATACAAATTCCAATACTCTTTTGTTCGTGCAGAGATAAGCGCAAGAATCAAAGTCGAATTTAAGAACATAACATTGTGCCCCTCTGGCGTGACCAAAGGAGGAATCTGTTATCAAATAGATGAAATTTAATTTTGCCAGTGTCTTTTGTCATGTGTAGCCCTCGTGCCACATTAAAATTCATCTAGCCCAAACTCAATGGGCAATAAGTAGAAAGCTGCATAATATCTATCTAATATTACAGTTAAAAAGATGAATTATCGACCGATAAAAAGACAACGGTTAAGATTGATCAAATTTTTATCTATTTTGATCTAATAGTCCCTACCCAAAAAAAATAATAAATCCAATGGGAAAATATTCATTTCAAAATTTTTTTTGTACCAAAAAAAATTAACTTCTCTACACGACTTTCAATGTTAGCTCAATCAACACACTTCCTAATATTAAACAATTCCATCAATGCACATAATTTTAAATTACGTAATTAAAAAAATTAAATAATTATTTAAAATACGAATATTGTTTCATTAGTTAGATTTGTGATAGGGATTAAATTCATTTCGACTTATTTGCTGAAAACCTTTATATGAGGGACATCCAATTAGCTAAAACCAACTCAGCTGATGTGTGGCGCACCACACCCCTCAATTTCCCTCTTTATCCTCTTCTTCTTCCTTTAGTTGTGCATATTGTTAGTAGAGTCACCCACAATGATCTTAAAGCACCTCTGTCTCTTTCAATCTCTCATCCACACACACACATACATATACAAACAAACCCACACAGTCATCCATCCCACTGGCCCACCCATATTTCTTCTCTCTTTCACAAAATACACACAGATTTATGTTTACGTCAGTCAATCAACCAGTGTGTCTAAGAAGATCCAAAATCATTTTTACAACATCTATTATGGTTATAATAAACTAATTCAGAACAAATAGAGAGGCAAGAGGAGGTGATCGTATTGCCAATAATGTACCAAATTTGGACATTTCATTTTTTGTCTTCCTAGATTTCATCTGAGGTAGAAATGGGTATCACAAGGTCTGTTGCTACGTTGCAATAAAAAATCTTCTCTTTCTATATCTCCATGGGTGGTGGTAATTTTTCGGAGTTTCTGTGAATCTTTGTGTTTGTGTGTGTGAGTGGTATGGATGTAAGTGTGAAAAGGAGGGAGAAGAAGAATGATACTCTAGCGATGGTGGATGAGGGTTCCAGTGGAGCAATTGGCTGGCCGTTGGAGATTGTATGTGTGTGTCAATGTGTGCGCGTATGCTAAAAGGCAGAAAATAACAGCGACCAAGACAGAGACATGGAAAACACAAACTTTGATTTTTGCCCACTCCAGCTGAACTGTCGATGTGTTAATTGGTAGTCTGTGAAATAGAGAATTACGGTTCATCCGTAATGAATTTAATCCCTTTTTTGATATTGCATAGTGTCTTCTGAAAGGGTTATTCCTACTATTTATATATTATAGCTTGGAAGGAATCACTCTCTCTCTCTCTCTCTCTCTCTCGCGTTGTTAGTCAATTGTATCACATGCTTGTGTTGGTTTCACCGTCCGCTGGATAAAGTAGAGTAGATTTTGTCGATGTTAGGCTAAGAACACTGTACGTTTTAGACATAGAAAATTTGTTTCCGAAGAAGAAAGATTAGTGGTCCTGTACGTGCCCTCTGTGTGCATGCGTTAGCTACAATCCACCAGGAAGGGGCAAGTCGGGGGATTCCTTTACTCACGGGATATTCCCCAAAAAGCATTTTGTAGGAATATGCCTCCTTCTCAGCAGTCCTGGAGGGATATCCTGTGTATGAAATTGGGGGAAAGCCTCCTATGGTAGAACACCCAATAATTTTTTTTTTTAAATCAATTAGATTAAGTTATTAGTTACTTGGATATTTGGGATCGATTTTTAAAGTGGTTGAGGTCATTCCCATATTTTCTTAATGAATTCTAAAGCTATATACCATTTATTTGTAATTTGGTTGTTCGAGTTGTAATTTAACTCGATTGACTTGTTTCAGTACAATACTGCAAACCATTGATAAAACCCAAGAAAAGGATCCGAAAATTCATACAATTTTTTGTTTTTAATGGTAAGTAGCTTTTCTAAGGTACGATCATATTGGGTTCATACATGCAAAGTAATTTTGGTATACTTATAATTACCCGTTAATCATGAGTATCTTTATAATATTTTTGAACAGTACTCAATTTTTTTTTTTAACATGGCAAATCTTATTTTTAAACAATCGCTCTAAAAAGCTCGAATATCTATTAAAAGAAGTAGAAGTGAGTGTTGAATTCAACTCTAATAAAAAGGTCTGATATATATATATTTTTTGGTTGAAGGGTGTTTAGGTTTATGCCGATTATTCTCTCGAAGTCAGTGATTGGCCACTGGTGGTTTTCAGTTGAGTTGGAGTATATTACTAAAAGACAAAGGTGATTAGTTTTAAAAGGTGTGAAAAATGATTGAACTTGAGAACTTTAGGTTATCAAAAGTTAGGTTCAATCGTTGAACTACTCCTAAGGGTTAAAAGGTCCGAATTTTTAAGATATGTATGATATTTGAGTGATTATTTATGTTTAAGTTTTGCTTAACAGTAATCGGTTTAAATATCTCTATTATGAAAAATAAAAAAAAAACAAATCTTGTTCTTCACATTACTATTTTGCACAGGTCATTTTCCAAACAACAGTAGATTGAGGTTTTCTTAACCGTGAAAATGATTGGAGATGTGTCACATCCCATAAGGAATCCACCCCTCGTGGCCATGTCTTTGTTTACGTGTAAGTTCGTTAATCTCAAAAACCTAAATGATTAATTAATAGCAAATACTGTCATACAAGAAAGTTTAATGCCATAATTTATAATAAGAGTTTCGAACTTGATTCGTTTATTAGATTTGCCATATAAAGTTAAGAGATATACGTTATATTTTTTTTTATTGATTTTGTGCGTGACAACGATTGTATATTGTATGATTTTATGTATGACATTGATTGTATCTATGCTATGCAACATATTTAATTTCTTGGACATTGTTTGGTTCTTGGATTTTTATTTAAATTAAAAAAGATGGAGACAAAATGGATTACTCATATGGGTTAAATGTTGTGACTGCATGAAATATTCTTCATTTGGATTTTATTGATCCCTGTCCTACACATGTTGTTACTTTTTTAACACTAAACTTGATATTAGTTTTTTTATTTTATGTTTTTTTTCTCGAGTAGTACTATTCGGATCTTATTTAAAGATGTAATCGATTGTTATCATTGGATTAACACCAGATTTCACTATTGGATAAAGTTCGCTGTCAATAGTGGATTAGGTCGCCACATTAGCCGTAAATAACATTTTAGAGACTAATACCTTTCTTAACAAGATTTTTGATCATATGTTTCTCATTATTTGATGGGCAAGATTTTGCAGTGTTATAAATTTGAAAACTACTGTCTGTTTTTTGGTTCAACGATCGGTGTCGGGGTTAGTTTACGCGAATTTTGATTAATCTCCTCTTCGATTAGGTCAAAGACAGAATATCCATGTCGGGAATTTAAAAACTAACGTCAAGGACACTGATATGATATCCCACCTTGAAGTTTGACAATAATTGTTTAGGAAACTTCAAGATTTAAATCTCATCACTTGATTTGGAGGTTTAAAATTTTGTCGACCATCGAGTATTATATTTTATCGTGCCATTTAGCGATGCGGAAACCATGGAAACTTATTGGTGGGGCCTTTTGAAATGATAGAAACTATGTATACATACATTTATGGTAAACTTGATACAAGCCTTGTGCCGTGGGGAGCAAGTTTTATTAACTTTCGGGGGGACGCATCAATAAAATTTGATTGATAACTTAGTTGAGGATTTTGTTGGTAGCTTCCTCAACAATAACTTAAATTCACATGAAATGGAAGAAAAATATTCTAGTGTGCTCATTTTGGTCGTTAAAAAGGAATGAGGATCGTGCAGTTAATAAATGATCGTGATCTGTGAATAACTGGCGTCGTGTTGGGGTGTCGTGAAAAGATCTGTTTGAGCCTCGTCTTTTGATGGTGTTTGAATGGAAATCGACAATTTTATCTAGATCGGTAGGAGATGGTGATTGGTGCAATGATTGCCATAATAATTATTTGTCAGCAACTAAATTTGATGGGTCGAGCTTGGATAGAGTTTTGATCTGGTCCAGACTTTCAAGTCACATTAGCGATAAAGTTGTTGTATTGCAAGAGTGAGAAGTAGGTGGGTGGGTCTTGACACAACGATAAAATTATTTTATTGTGGCTCGCGAGTAATGGTTTGAGTAAGTGAAAGTTAAAATTGTCATCTTTGTATTCAAGGATGAGACTCCATACCCTTACTTCTTTATAAATCTTGCAGTATTTGAAGCTTTGTGCATAGAGTTCCTATTGCTATCATTGCTTAGCTAGAGTATACACAGAAACTATTTCCAATCTATTAATTGTCTTGTTTTGAACCTTAGACAAACTTAGATATAAAGGACATTAAATTATACATCAACAGACAAACATACTGATAGAAGGTTGATTGACGAAATAATTTTCTACACCCAGACAATCTTCATAAAGAAAATAAATCTGGAATATTCATTCGTTAATCAATTTGTGTCGACATGTAAGTTCAAACTTCAAACATATTTGTCACCCTAAATCGTCTCCTTAAACATGTACCTCAAGTTTCCCCTCTCTCTAGTACTTACTGAGATGGAATCGGGCGTACTTTTTTTTTTTTTTTTGGTTCAACAGTGAAGGGTGTTTGAATTAATATATGTACGCCTGAATTAATTTTCTCTTTGATCCGGACAAAGATAGTCTATCTATGTCGGAACTAAGGTATTCATGAGGGATAAAT